ATATATATGAAATAGAGAAGAAATAATACAGCTAAAATTTAATAAGAATCAAACAAGTCTAATCAAGAAAAAAGAAGGAAAACAAATATTAGTATCAATGGAAAAAGAGATCAAAATAACCCTACAGATGCTAAAAATATATTAAGGTAATATTACAGTTGTATGCCAACATATGTGATAGCTTACATAACATGGTCTGTATTAGAGAAAAATCCCTGTGCTATTGAGAAGAAAGTGTATTCAGTCATTGATGGATGAAATATTCTATGTTTGTTAAGTCCAAATTATCAATTGTATTTTTTACTTCTATAGCTTCTTTGGTTTTTGTTTGGAGGATCTAACCAGTATTGACAGTCATATTAAAGTTACCTAATATTATTGTGTGTGGTCTATTTGATTCTTGAGATTGAGAGAGTTTATTTGATTTGTGTAGATACTCCATTGTTTGAGGCATAAATATTTACGATTGTTATGCCTTGTTGATGTGTAGTTTCTTTAAGCAGTGTGAAATGGCCTTCTTGATCCCTTCTGATTAACTTTGGCTTAAAGTCCTCTTTATCTGATATAAGGATAGAAATCCCTGCTCATTTATGCAATCCATATGAGTGGTATGTTTTTTCCCATCCTTTTACCTTCAGTCTGTGGACATCTTTGCCTATGAGGTAAGTCTTCTTGGAGACAGCATATGTATTGTTGGGTCTTGTTTTTCAATCCAATCTGCCAGTCTGTCTTTTGATTGATGGTTTTAGGCCATTAATATTCAAGGTTATTATTGAGATATGATTTATATTCTCGGTCATTTGGGTTTATTTCTAGTTTTTAATTTGAATTAGTTTCTGCTTTGATTGACTATTTCTTTAGTGTAGTTCCTCCCTTTGCTGGTTTTCATTTTTTTTTTTTTCATTTCGTATTCATGGAATATTTTGTTGAATATTCTGAGATTAAAGGCTTTCCAGTTGTAAATTCTTCTAACTTTTGTTTATCATAGAAGGTTTACATTTCATCTTCGAATATGAAGCTTAATTTTGCTGGATGAGATTCTTGATTGGCATCCATTTTCTTTCAGAGCTTGATATATATTATTCCAGGACCACCTAGCTTTGAGGGTCTGGGTTGAGAAATCAGCTGAGATCCTAATTGGTTATCCCCTATAGGTAATGTGATATTTTTCTCTTGCACCCTTTAAAATTCTATCCTTATTATGTATGTTAGGCATTTTCATTATAATGTGCCTTGTTGTGGGTCTGTTGTAATTTTGTACATTTGGTTCCTGTAAGTCTCTTGTATTTGGTTTTCCATTTCATTCTTTAGGTTTGGGAAATTTCATGATGCTATTTCATTAAAAAGATGTGCATTCCTTTGGTTTGTATCTCTGTGCCTTCATCTTTCCTGATAAATGTTAAATTTGGTCTTTTCATGTATCCTATAGTTCTTGTAAGTTCTGTATGTGGTTTCTTAATATCTTCTCTCCATGGTCAATTCTGTTTTCAGTATTATATATTTTTGTCTTCATTGCCTGAGGTTCTGTCTTTCTAGTGGTCTGGTCTGTTGGTGATGCTTTCCATTGAATTTTCAATTTGGTTACTTGTTTCCTTCATTTCAAGGTTTTCCACTTAATTTCTGCCTTTTTATTGAAGTGATTTACTTCCTGTATTCTCTCTAATCTCATTTTTTATACCATCCTTAATTTGCACATCAGCTTAACTATGTAAATTCTGAACTCCTGGCATTTCTAATGCTGTGGTGTCAATGTATTATGTTATTGGAGTATATTGGTTAGTTTGGGGCAGTTTGTTTCCTTGCTTTTTCATGTTATTTTTGTGTCTACCCATCTGAGAGTATGGATCTAAGGTAATAGAGTTTCTGCCCTGTGGACTTAAAGTATCCCTTAAGGTTTCCACTACCTTGCTGTTTAGGGGGAGACAAAATAATAATAACCACTAATGCAAACACTATACAGCATTAAACCAAATAATTATTATTTGATTTAATTATCACAACAGATAGAAATGATGCAATAAGCTATTGCCTACAATAAAAATAACAAGTTTGCAAAAGGGTTTATAGTTTCAAATGATAGACAGGGGCGGGGGGAACAGAAGTGATATAAGATGTGATGATTTTAAGGCAAGAAGAGAGAAGAAGTAAAAAATTAAAGGAAGAGTGAAAGAACAATAGAGAGTGGCTGTTAGCAGAAGAAAAGAGAATCAAGGGAAACAGGAAGAAAAAAAATATATATATTATAAAAAGTAAAACTTTTAAAAAAAGAGGGACTGGGGATATAGCTCATTTGGTAGAGTGCCTGCCTTACATACACAAGGCCCTGGGTTCAATCCCCAGCATCACAAAAACAAACAAACAAATAAACCTAAAATATACTCATCAAACATCCTAGTTCACAAAAAACTTATCCAGAAAAAATAACTTGCTTCAAAGATGTCAGAAATTAGAAAATATGAATATGTATAAATGCTCATGTACCATTAAGGCCACAATTAAACAGAGAAAAAAAGTAAGAAAAAATAAATGATCTTGATGAATTTAAGAATTCTTTCTGTTGGAGTTTAAAAGATTCTCAGTGGTTTTAGGTGGGGTCATCTGGAGGGTTATGCTTCATCCTCTGGATTGCTGGAGTGAGTGAGGTAATTCCTTAGGTGGAATTTTTGGAGGCAGGCTTCAGGCTTATGTAGATTCAAGATTCTTACTGAATGCCAGTTGGTCTGGAGATTTTAAATCATCACACTTCTCAGTGCCCATACTTGCTGGTCCACACTGGACTGTACACCAGGGATCTCCCCTGGTTTCACTCGTGTGGTGAGAGACCCAGTTCTTAGTCCCCTAAATCACCTTCAAATCCCACATTTCCAGGTCTTAGGTTCAGTCTCCAAATAATCTCTCCCACCCACCGCCCTTCAGAGTTCTGGGCAGATCACGAATCTGTGGATTTAAATATGTAATTTCATCATCTTGTACTGGTGATGATGAAACTATTAGTGGTGGAGGTGCTATTGCTATCAGCTCTCTCACAATGTACTATTGTTAATAATAACATAAATCAATAAATGTATACAAAGAAGAACTTCATGAAAAGTTGAGAAAATTGGGAGAGTGAAGACAATTTAAGAAATAAGTCCAGCTGGATGCAAGGGTGTATGCCTGTAATCCCAGTGACTCAGGAAGCTGAGGAAGGAATATGGAAAGTTTGAGGCTAGCTTCAGCAACTTAATGAGACCCGCAACACCAAATAAGAGATAAAAAGGGCCGGGATAAAGCTGAGTGGCAAAGAGCTCCTAGGTTAAATCCCCAGTACCAGAAAAGAAGAAGAATGAGGTGGCACACATCTGTAATTCCAGCTGCTGGGGAAGCTGACATAGGAAGATCACAAATTCAAGGCCAGCCTGAGCAACTTAGTGAGACCCTGCTTAAAGATGTAGTTCATTTGTAGAGCCCTTGCCTAGTGTACATGAGGCCCTGGGTTCAATCCTCAGTACTGAAAAATAGAAAGAAAAAAAGAAGGCAGTCCAGTTGGTGTAGGATTTGGGCATTTTCCTTTTGATAGTAGAGAGCAATGGAAATACTTTTAGTGAGAGAAGGAGTGACATATAAAAGTTGATTAGAAAGGACTTTAAGAATGTGGTTCAGAAATAGAGCACTTACTTATCATTTGCCAGGCCCTTGTTTGTCCCCAGACTCTAACCCACCCCGCAAAAAGAAAGAATTTTAAGAAAACCCTGGTGGCTGTTTGATACAAAGTAGTTGAGTAAAAGAGATGAGAAGTCAGACACCAAGGAAGGAAGCTCTGACAGTTAAGAAAAAGAGATGGTAAATATTGATGTCTGAGCTCTTAGAGACCAACTAGGGGAGATAAATCAGAATGAAATTGGAATGTCCAGGATGAAATGGATGGAGCAGGTAGGAAAAGTTTTGTTTGTATCTAAGATACGTCCTGTAGTTCTAACTCGGATAACTAAGGGGAAGAGTAATGCTACTGAGAAATGATATAGAGTCACTGGAAATATAGTGTGGTGGTAGCATGCACAAGACCCTGGTACTGCAAAAGACAGAATCTTCATAGTTAACCTTCTAATGAAAGTTTCTTGTGGTTGTTGAAACTCCTCAAAGGCATTCATTGACAACTATTATTGGACTTGTTTATCCAAGTTATCCAAGGACTGTTACCTCCCCAAAGCAATTGTCTGGCTACCCTCATTAAAACAAAAGTCTTAAGAGTATTCTGTAGTCCTATCTCCCAGATGTTGTTTCTTCATTCTGTAGCTTTGAAATGTTTCATCGTCCTCCTTTTCTTCTTGAGAAATTTGCTTTCTAACAGCATTAACATTTCTAACAGCGTTAGCATTTAACCCTGCCCTTCTTCCAAGCTTTTAGCAAACTTCCAACTACCCATCCCCACCTGGCCTTTTTAAAAATATGCTTTTTTGGACAGTAGTTTTCTGAATTATAGTTTTCTTGGTGTAAGCCAGTCAAATAAATAATGGAAATAAATGGAGCTTGGCAGTCCTTGCTAAAAGTGTGCACTGTATTAAATAAAATGTTCATAATACTTTAGATGTTCTAAAAACACCTGCATGTATTTCTTATTACAGAACCTTGAAGTCCCTAATAAGGTACTGTCACAAAACTGATTGGACTGGGAACTAAGTCCCTGTACTGTAGTACTTCCATGACTTGTATTAACAGTAATAATTATTTGGGTTATGACTTCCGAAAAGATTTTTTTCCCCTGTCATTTGTGTCTTTGGGGATGTCAATATTATTATTTGATAGTTTCTTTTTAGTTGAGAAAAATTAGGTTAGGTACAAGGTTCAACTTTCTTCTCTGAACACAGACTTTTAATCTGTTTTAATGAATTGTTTTATGTTAAGATGTGTTTTCTCTTTAAAATAGCACTCCTCCCACTTTGTTTTTTTTTTTTTTTTTTTTGGGTGCACCAAATTGAAACCAATCCTGATTTATTTAATTTTTTTCTTCTGTGTTATAGGTCCTCTTCCTGATGGATGGGAGCAAGCCATGACTCAGGATGGAGAAATTTACTATATAAACCATAAGAACAAGACCACCTCTTGGCTAGACCCAAGGCTTGACCCTCGTTTTGGTAAAGGTTCATCTCAAAACCTTTTTAGATATTTTTGATTACTTTTTTAATGTGTGAATTTAGGAAAGCACATTTAAAACTGCATTGCTTCATAGTATTAAAAATGACTGCTCACTGAACTTTTCCCATTATTGTTTTTTTACCTTTTCATTTTCAATTTGAGAGGTTTAGGTCTAACTTGACTTTTTAGTCTGGATTGGATGAGAGAATGGTATAGTCGCTTACGAGTCAGAATTACTGTTACTTACTTACTAACCAGAATTCATGTTTTGGGGAAACACATCCACCTTCTTGATAATGGTCTCTCTCTACCTGATTGCTGTCAGATAACACTGAAATAATCAGGCTATCAGATAACACTGAAAATCTGGAATACCAGCTTTTGTCAGTGACCTGGTGTCTGCTTATGTTTAACTTCTGAGAGTGATGGGCACCATCCCATGCTTGAGTGTTATTCTAAGTGGTGGTGATTGGGGGGACCTGTAGCCCTAGAAATGGTCTAATGAAAGCATTTCCCCCTCTTTTGCCCATTTTTCTTTTTTGTAAATAAAAATACTTCCCTTTGTTTTTTATATAAGAAGCAAAAGGCATGCCATATTTCCCTCCTGATGACATAGATAAATCACCAGTGCTCAGAGGAACTCTTCCCTTTCAAATGTGCACATTGTGATAAAAGTATACAAGTTGTTTAGTGCCCTTTTATCCATATTTTCCCACTGTTTTTAGTTTCTTCAGTTGGGTTTCTGAGATATTTTTCCAAAGCCATGGAAAAATGAGTCTAAAAAGAAGCAGATAATTGTGGTTTTGAAGCTCTCATCATGGACTAGATGCAGCTTAATGAAAACAACGTGCAGATCACAGAGTAGGTCAGACTGAAGGGATGCGGAACCTTTGAAGCTGTACAGGGGTTGACCTAACAACAACTGTGAGGCCCTTACAGGAAAGAAGAATTAACTCTGTGAATGCCATCAAAACACAACTCTAGGAGGAGAAAGAAAAAGAAAATTATTGGGAGTTGGTTGGATAAAACAACTCCCTGTCAGGAACATTAGGAACAAGTTCTCCTGTGTCTTAGATATGCTTTAAAAACAAACAGTATTCAGTTTTACCTCAGATTGCCTGACTATTTGGCTTCATTGACTGACCGAAACCCCTATTCAAAGTAAAGTCAAAGGTGCTATCAAGGCAGAGACTGTGACTTTGACAGAGATCCGGTTTGTCTTAAATGCCAGGCTTTTGAGCTTTAAGACTTCTTTGGGTGTTAAACAAAACAGTGTGTCACGTTAATAATTTGCAGCTTCAGATTTTATTTAATATTTGAATAAGCCTGTGGTTGAAGTAGGAAATCAAGTAAGGTGGAAAATATAATAAATTTGTATGGAGTGGAATGACAATGGACATGTTTCCTTAAATCATATTTATTGGAATGAATTAAACTTGTCCACATTTTGGAAAATTCAAAGAATAGTGTTATGAGTAAAATACCCCCCAAATCCTTAAATTATGAAAGATGATAATTAACTCATAATTAACCTCAGAGATCAGGAATCAAAGCTTTTTTAAAAAGAATATTTTCACTTAAGGGCTGGGGTTGTGGGTCAGTGGTAGAGCACTTGCCTCTGGGTTCAATTATCAGCACTGCATATAAATAAAAAAGAAAGGTCATTCAGCAACTAACTAAATAAAATATATTCTTTATTCTTTTTTTTTTTTTAAAAAGAATAGTTTTACTTAAAACAGATAAGTAAAATATCTTTGCTGTGAGATTAAGTACATTCACTGATTATACCCATCACTTAGTCTTTTGTTTTAATCATGGGAAGATATTTTTTAAAAGTACTTCTTTCTACCTCTTACTTACACACACACACACACACACACACACACACACACACACGCACGCGCACATACAATTAGATATGCCAAAAAAGTTTCATGAAATTCTCCTATTGCATTTAGTTTCCCTTTTTGGGCCCACTGTGTATGTGTATTCCAGACAGGCTTGACAACATGCCAGAGCTTTTTATTTTGTGGCCGACTTTTAATCTGTTCCAGACCTTTTCAGTCAGAGAGCTCAAGTGTAACTGAAGGGGGTGCAGGAAAGAAAAAAAAAAAACATGTGGGTTTCTCTGATCTAGAGTGACAGCAAATAGAGACAAGCTGTTAACTGCTGGATTTGAAGTTTTCCCTGAAATCTGAAGTTCTGTATAAAGGATTATGTTTTATCTCTGCCAAAGAAATATAAACTATTCTCTTATTTCTGACCTTTGAGCCATGAAAACACAAGCAAATGGTATAGGTCATTGCTTTCATGGTTGGGGAGTTCACTTTCCTATATTTTCTAAATCTGTATTAAAGTATTGGCCAGTTTTTAGCTCAAATGGACCTGTCTTTTGACATCTTAGATTGAAAGATAACACACTGTGTAAGCTTAATTTTCTTATCAGATTCTTTAATTTAGAATTTAAAAATAATTTGCCACTTTTTTGCATCCTCTATGATGTTAGTAAGATACCAATATAATACTAGAAAATTAAATACTAATTTGTTGGGGATTGGTTCCTTTTTTGTCTGATTTTTTTTTCTTTTAACATTTAATACCTGTATGTCTTTATATTGTTTAGATAATTTATTAGTAATTTATAACAAGTCAAATAGTAGTATGGATGTACTGATATTTGTTAAGCTTTTAAAAAGAAGGCTTTTATGTTTGTATTTTAAGGAATCATTAAGAATGATTTTATTCTGTAAAAAGAATATGGATCCTTGAGTATTATGCAGACCATTAAATTATTTCATAAAATATGTTAGGTATACTTTTTGTTGCTAGAAATTTTATGCCAGTAAACATGAAGAATCTCAAGTTTAAATATTACCTTGTATATTGTACAATTATGTTTTATATAACATAGTCATCTGAATGTTTTCCTGAGAAAGCCTTAATGAAAACACACTAACTTTAGTTTCTGTTCATCAAAATGAAAAAAGGACTCTAAACACTTAAAAAGCCAGTGAAATGATCTTGTATAATATTATTGTCCTTTTTATATAAAAGATCTATTAAAATAATGTTAGTGCTCTGTATTCTTAGACATAAGTACTGATGGTACCACTGAGATAAAACGGGTATAAACAAATTATTGAAGCCAGATATTTGGGGGAAAAGGTATACTTTTGAATTTTAAAGGAAGTAATGAACAATCTATTGTGGTAAAAGCAGAACATCCTTTAATTCCTAGCTACAATTCTGTGCCCGAAGTGTTAAAAGTAATTAAAATTCAGATGTTGATTTTGGCCCCTTGTTTCCAGGTTTTACAAAACTTACTATATGTGTGTGTAATGTTTCTTGATGTAAGAAAAAATTTACCTAGAAATAAAATGATAAGTAAATTACACACATATATGTATAATTATTTAAAATTGGTCCCTAAAGCCAAAAATTCTTCAGCACATCTTTCATTTCAAAACTAAATTATATGTGCCATGTACTGTGGTGTAATCTACAGAACACCTGTAATCACAGTCAGGATGGTGAGACAGGATGATCATAAGTTCAAGTCCAGTCTGGGCAATTTAATAAAATCCTGTCTGAAAATAAAATAGAAGTGAGACTGGGAATATAGCTCAGTGGTAGACCCTTTGCCTAGCATTTGTGAGGTCTTGGGTTCAATCTCCAGTACTGCAATCAGTCAATTTAATCAATAAATATAATTTGTATTGATAATTAAATATCTATTTTAATTACAATTGTTGACATTCATTAACCTTCTTCTCTTAAGACTGAATATTTCTGGTAACTGTTATAAGTAATATTTTTCTTTTGATTAAAAAGTCACAATTTAATGGCCCACTACATACCTAAGAATCTGTCCAATCTGTCCAATTTAGTGATAAGGGGGGAAAAACACTAAATAGGCTTAGAAACTAAAAGTGTAAATTAATTAATAATGTCATGGTTACAATGTTGACACCAAATTATTTGAGTTTATTGAAGGGTAATTCTCTTGACATCTATACATTAAAAACAAGAGATTTTGTTGTTGTTGTTTTTGGTTTTTTACCAACTCTATTAAATTTGTCCTGATAATCCAAGATAATCAATATTTGGTTGTATTCTACACTAACTACTTAGGATAGAAAAATATGATGTTTCATTGTGTTTTAGTTACTAGCTAAAATGTTAACAATTAGTAGCTAAAAATGTTAACAATTTCACAGAATTTGACCTGAAAAGAAATTTGTGATTCTTTCATCAGCATTTCTCAGTGAAAGGAATGTCATTTTGGGCACTGAAGGATACTCAGCATCCCTAGACCACTAAATGCCATAGAGTCACCCAGTTATTTTGATTCTCCAGATAACAAACACATATTTTGAAATACATTATTAAAAAATAATGATGATGGAAGAAGTAGGGAATATTTCTTCAGCTTGAGCTTCTCTGAGGTCTAGGGAAATGGTAATCTGAGGTTGTATAGTTAAGCAACAGAACCAAAATCTAAACATTTTTTTTTTCCTAGCCCTGCCAAAACAAGGCCTCAAAAGTTAGTTGAAATACTTGGAATTGCTTCTATGGAAATATTTAGTAAAAGACAAAAGATTTATATGATCTGAAGAAAAAACAGCGTATCTAGATTTCTGTTGATACCATAAGATCTTTAGATTGCTTACCAATATCTTTCAAACACACTTCTAATATACCTGTTCTAATATATATAGGGCTTTCAGAGGGAGGAAGCACAGTAGTTAGTGTACTTGTGTCCTATATTGTGACTCATCTTGAGCAAATTACCCAAAACTAATGAGTTTCTTAGAAGAGAATTATAAGATCTCTAATTGGATCAGACTTTGAAGCCATCTAGTTTAATTGTCTAGGCAGTTCATTCCTCACCTATGTGAAATTCTTAAGAGACTGTCTTCCAGTCTGAGCTTGACCTTTTCCTTGACAGGTTTACTGCATTTTACAGCAGTCCATTCTATTTAATGAAAATCCTAATGATCAGAAA